ATAAAAGTCCCGATTAGGTGGTTGAAATATAAATTTTGTGTAAAGAAATTCTGTTGTCCAGATATAGAAATATGGGAGGTGCCGTGGAGGCCCCATTCCACGGCGTTTACAGTTTTTGATTGGGAGATTTTCTATCTAATATCAACCAAAATTTTTGTAATAGAAATTAGGGGTCAATTATTAAAAAATATTTAAAGTTTTTAACAATATTAATATTTGTAACAAAGAGCTTGTAAATGTAAAACAAATTTAATTCGGAATAATAATTTTATGTACCTCCCCCTCTCCCCCTTTCAGCACTTCAAATACATATAAGTGAGTATTCATGTACAAAGAAGTTTAAATGCATTCAGACTGACAGTTTTTTTTTTCTTGGTTTCACCCAATAGCGTGACAAAACTTTTTGCACGAACGATTCTCATCAACACCAGAGTAGAAGCCGAAGTAGCAGCACCTTCATCATCATCCACAGTCATCTCTTTAACTGGGGATTACCTACCCTTCCCTATGGTTTGATATGATTAAAGATCATCATCGTCGTGGTTGTGTGTTAAAATTTAATGCAAAAAACCTCAACGACATAGACAAAAAAATGAAATAAAAACAAAAAGAAAGAAACTGAAAACGTATTAAAAATTACAATTACCAAGGAAGAAGAACTTCCCTATCCTACTCTACCGACCTCCCCCCCTTGCTACTCAACTTTGTGAAAATTGGCATAGGTAATGCTTGCACATATGCAACCCAAATCATAAGGTGTATTATGTTGTTTGGAGTCCATACCGACATATAGATCATATATGTACCTCGTAATGTTTGTTTCGACTGCCACAAAAAAGGGTCAACACAATTAAAACTCAAGTACGTGAAAAGTAGACAATTCCAAGAGGTAGCCATTGCACCGCACCACCGCCACGACCAGCCAATTGCCGGCAACCTGCCATACACTGCATTGCGAGTGGACCGTGAGCCCCGGAAGAGATAAGTAGCTGACTAGCTGGCTGGCTGACTGTTTGCTTCCTTGCTTGGCTAGCTGTTAAAGCGCGGCAGCAGTGGCCAGCCATAAATCATGACAATTTTTTTTAAGTTTCTTTTTTTTTTCTTGGCGTTTCTTAAATTTTACAAAAAGTGAAAAATCGTTAAATCTTTCTTGAAATGAATTTGATGCGCCTGGTCGAATTCAAAAGTGGAAATTGTGGTTAATACGAGCGTCCATATGTATGTCTGGCCAGGGTGCAGTAATGGCAGTGTAACTAAACGCTAATTTTCTTTGATTGGGCTATGACAGTGGAAAATGGCGTAAAAATTAAATACCTTCAAGTTATATACATATTTAAAAGAAATATTTTAATAAATGTCCGGTAATAATAACCAGAAATTATTTGCTTTCGAAATGGCTTACAGCTTATGGTTACAATTCTGTTGGGTGCAGATTCCAAATATAATCTACATTGGTGGTCCAGGGGCAGATGAGAGAATGTGATTTTAAATATACATTTTTTTTAACTTAAATTTTTCGATTTTATTGTTGGAAGTCAAATTCTATTGTAACATTGTAGTTTATTTCAAACTCTTAATTTGTAGGGGTGTAGCACGAAGCATTGTTGTAATCTTGAAATGTAGTTACTTTAATTTAAATTAAATTAATTCTCTTGTTGAGTTGAGTGCAAAAGTTTTCATCGCTTGAACACAATAAAATGACACGAAATCCAATAAGACATGGATAAGCCTGGCCGGATAAGGTGAAACAGAACAAAAAAAGTTACAATTTATAAATTATAAAATTATAAGAATGGGTCTTTGGTCCTTGAGAAAATATTCTTTTATAAACTTACGCCTTTATAGGTCCTTGAAAAAATATTCTTTTATAAACTTACGCCTTTATAGGTCCTTGAAAAAATATTCTTTTATAAACTTACGCCTTTATAGGTCCTTGAAAAAATATTCTTTTATAAACTTACGCCTTTATAGGTCCTTGAAAAAATATTCTTTTATAAACTTACGCCTCTATAGGTCCTTGAAAAAATATTCTTTAATAAATCCACGCCTTGGATGGTCGATCCTTTGAAAAAATATTCTTTAATAAATCCACGCCTTGGATGGTCGATCCTTTGAAAAAATATTCTTTAATAAATCCACGCCTTGGATGGTCGATCCTTTGAAAAAATATTCTTTAATAAATCCACGCCTTGGATGGTCGATCCTTTGAAAAAATATTCTTTAATAAATCCACGCCTTGGATGGTCGATCCTTTGAAAAAATATTCTTTAATAAATCCACGCCTTGGATGGTCGATCCTTTGAAAAAATATTCTTTAATAAATCCACGCCTTGGATGGTCGATCCTTTGAAAAAATATTCTTTAATAAATCCACGCCTTGGATGGTCGATCCTTTGAAAAAATATTCTTTAATAAATCCACGCCTTGGATGGTCGATCCTTTGAAAAAATATTCTTTAATAAATCCACGCCTTGGATGGTCGATCCTTTGAAAAAATATTCTTTAATAAATCCACGCCTTGGATGGTCGATCCTTTGAAAAAATATTCTTTAATAAATCCACGCCTTGGATGGTCGATCCTTTGAAAAAATATTCTTTAATAAATCCACGCCTTGGATGGTCGATCCTTTGAAAAAATATTCTTTAATAAATCCACGCCTTGGATGGTCGATCCTTTGAAAAAATATTCTTTAATAAATCCACGCCTTGGATGGTCGATCCTTTGAAAAAATATTCTTTAATAAATCCACGCCTTGGATGGTCGATCCTTTGAAAAAATATTCTTTAATAAATCCACGCCTTGGATGGTCGATCCTTTGAAAAAATATTCTTTAATAAATCCACGCCTTGGATGGTCGATCCTTTGAAAAAATATTCTTTAATAAATCCACGCCTTGGATGGTCGATCCTTTGAAAAAATATTCTTTAATAAATCCACGCCTTGGATGGTCGATCCTTTGAAAAAGTATTCTCTAATAAATCCAGATCAGTCCTTTGAAAAAATTTTCTTTAAAAAATCAACGCATCTGATAGCCCTTGAAAAAATATTCATTAAAAAATCCACGCTCTACGACCTTTGAAGTACCTTAGAATAAATATTCTACAAAAGTTCTGTAATGTATTTTTAGTTCTTGCTTTATAAAATCCACAACCCACTCTATTATTGTCCATATTTAATATATTTTATAAAATGCACGTGAGAAGTTGCAATAATTTTTACTTCTGTTTAATTGTGAACACGTTTCCTCGATGACTGACAGTTGGTACTTGTTGTTGTTGCCATTGTTCCGTTTCAACCTATCATACATATTTAATCGGCCAGAAATTTTAATTCGACTACGTCCGTATTGTAGGTCTGTCTGTTCGCATGTCCGTCCTCTCGTGTGTCTCTCTGTCTTTATGTTTATTTATATGCTGTAGGTTTCAGGTTTCTAGATCAGACAGCAGAGATACTCCCCATAACGCTCACAAGAAATATGAAAGACAAAAGGAGGAAGAAAATAAAACAAAGAAATAAAGCTGCAGAATAAAAATGGAATGAACAGCTTTTTCGGCAAATAAAACTTTGATGTATCCATATATCCACTCCTCCCTACCCTGCAAACAAAATACGGAAATATACTTTTTGACTAATAAGTTTATTCGTTGAGTGGCTAGTTATCCCTATGGCTCGCGTAGACGTTTAGATGACGCGGGTGCTAGAGTGTCGGTTCTGGCCTACTGGCATTCTGATGAAGATCGAATGCATGTCTGGCTGGTGGCTCACTTTTTGTTTTTTTGAAATTAGAAACCATTTAAATGCAGTTACCAATTAATCCATTGACCAAACATTAGTGGTATTCAGTTCAGTGGCTAGCTCTGGCATGGGGTTGTGGTAGTGGCACAAACCAGTAGCCAAAACTTCAAGATCTTGATTGAACGACAGCCACTTGCTTCCTGATGTTCTGTTGTTATTTGAGTGCAATTAAATTTTAACAGTCTTGCAATTAGCAGTTTTTATTTAGATTTTAATTTAGAAATTTTACAAATGAATAAGTGTGACTGGCTAATTAGTAAGGCGTCAAAACGCTATAAAGGGTTCTCTTCATTTTATTAATAAGAGTAAATGACGAAACTGTCGATTTCAGACCAATCTGTAACTTTAGACGCTGGGTATTATGTCTTTGTGCATATGTTTATAAATACCAGCCTAAATATAGCCGTGGATTTTTTAAATATATTTTTATGGCCTAATTATAGGCCTAGACTTTTTAAACATAATTTTTCATGGCCTAAATATAGGCGTGGATTTTTTTAAACATATTTTTTCATGGCCTAGGCACAGGCGTTGATTTTTTTAAACATATTTTTTCATGACCTAAATATAGGCGTGGATTTTTTTTAAACATATTTTTTCATGGCCTAAATATAGACGTGGATTTTTTAAACATATTTTTTCATGACCTAAATATAGGCGTGGATTTTTTTAAACATATTTTTTCATGGCCTAAATGTAGACGTAGATTTTTTAAACATATTTTTTCATGATCTAAATATAGGCGTGATTTTTTTTTTAATATTTGTTAATGTCTGCCAAGTTTAGACCACACAGGATTTACAATTCGCTTTAGCTACGTAGTGACTGTGATTGGATATTCGTCTATAAAGAAAATTATGATTCTGAGATCTTGGGGAAGAAAACATTTTTTTAAGACTTAACGACCCTGAGCCATTTAAGTTTTCAGAGGGTTTTAACCGCAAATAAAACGATTACGTGTGAGGAACTAAAATATATCATAACTGCCGATGGGAAAAATTATCTGAAATTGGTTCGTCTCCTTAAAACACTATGACCCATTTTTGTATTTTTAATTTGTACATTCATTATCACTGTGCCATAAAATTTCCGTCAACATCATCAACAGAGACATTGAATTTTAAAAAAATATTTAATTTTTTCTGTGTGCATTGACCGCACAAAGAGCAGGAGTAAAAAAATGCGCCCAAATGTATCGACTTACCTCATTATTTTACGTTTATTATTTGGATGGATGCGATTGGCAGTTTCTGGATCAATTGTCCTTAAATGGTTGTGTAGCAATTCCGATGGCATAGTCAGCATGTCGGCGGAGGCTATAAATGAAGGCTGAAATGAGAAAACAACAAAAGTCAATAAAGAAAAACTTGTGCGGTAGGTGGAGATAAGAAAAAAAACGCTAAAGTTTTGACTTTCGTTTTTGTCAAAAAATTTTGTTTTGAGAATAATATGAAAATAAGAAATAAAAACGACAAGAAAAATATAAGAACATACATTTTCTAAATTCCCAGACTCGTTGGCAACATTGTGAGAAGGAGCAGCATCAGCAGTGGCGGCGGTAGTTGTAGGAGAATTGCTATCCTTAAGGGCAGAATCGTCTTTGTCGTTAGTGGCAGAGGCATCATTATTCGTTTTTTGTGGTGATGAAATGTCTTCACTCGAAGTTGGACTCACTAAAATATCCCACAGCAATGATTCAATGTAGTAATTGGTACCACCAACAACAATTGGGCATTTGGACTGTGATAAAAGATTTTCAATCTGTGTTTTTTTGTTTTAATCGAGCAATGAGTTCGATTACAATAATGAGTTAAGGATTATATTATTTTTATTAAAAATGTAATTGACAATAAATGAAAAGTAGACAGAAAATTATAAAATGTTAACACGTCTCCAAAGGTTACCAGTAATTTGACACCCTGAGTGGGGGTAGATGGGGTCATGAAATATCAATGCATGTTTTAATTACAATAGTTAAATTGTATGATACTACAGTAAATTTTGTAATATTTTTAGTATAAAAAAATTATATCAATCGGACAAATATTGGAAGGTTGGAACTCCACTTACATAAAATAGGACGAAACTATATATGGGAGTATATATTTCCAAACAGATTTGAACAAAACTTCCCATACATCAATCAGGACCTAATTCAGTACGTTGTGCAAAATTCTATCTCAATCGGACAAATATTGGGAGTTTCTAGGACTATATACATAAAATCGGACGAAACTATATATGGGAGCTATATCTGAATCTGAACCGATTCAGTACGATGTGCAAATATTGTTTCAATTGGACGAACATTGGGTGCATAATCCACAAAAATCGGACGAAAGTATATATAGGAGCTATATCCAATTCTGGACCGATTTCAATGCAACTTCTCATACATCAACCTAGACCTAAATCAGAACGCTGTGCAAAATTGTGTTTCAATCGGACGGACATGCATAAATCGACTCAGAAAGTGATTCTATGCATATTCTCAAAAGGAGCCATATGTATATCTCGTTTATTGCCTTTTATAAACATATGCACAACGACATAATACCCTGTACCACAGTGTGGTGAAGGGTATAAAAAGACTAGCTCTAATCGGTGATGGGTATACAAGTATCGCAAAATATTGTCCAGGCACGGAATATAGATCGGCACCGTTCGACTATACTGCTCCGTTCAGTATATGTTCCTACCAAAAGCTATTCGTATCGAGTCCAGTTTCGGTGTATTCACAATGTAAAGGTAATCCTTCGCGCAATTTCTAACCAAATTGGATGTAATTTGTCATTCCTTGTTATTGGTAGGTATACATTATGAACGCAGACATTTTTCAATATAAGTCCACGTCCCTTAATTTTCGGCATTTTGAAATAGCTAACTTAAATTTTCAAATTTTTATTTTCCAAGTTCTATCATGGGCTCCATATATAACGGTCCCTATTTATTTTGAGATATTATAAATGTCCATTAATGGTGAAGGGTATCACAATTTTTACTCGGCCGAATTTAACAACATCATTACTTGTTTATAAAATAAATTACAACAAATGTCTCTGAGACATTTTCATAGAAAACATCGAAGCCACAGTAACAGAGACATTTCTCTATACTTAGCCACAGAAAATGAAGTGTTTTTAATAAAAAACGAGATTATATTCGCAGCATATGGTTTGCGGAGACCTACGGTATTACTGGTATGTGTCGATCTGGATAATTTTTTTATTAAATTCATAACTTTCCTATACCTATATAGCAGATTGTTGCACTAAATCTTTGGTTAACTCCCATATTAAGGTCAGCCAGTTTAGACCACACAGGATTTAAATTCGCTTTATGAAATGTATGGTCCCATGAGTCCATGTTCAGACTTCATTTGGGCTTGGTAAAAAATACTTGCTTCATGTGTGATTTACAATTTTATTCAAAGTTGACGCTTTTGTGGGAAAGATACCGGAAGGAGTGGACCGTTTAATCTCATCTTCAAAAATTTTGCAGACACTGTGAAAACGGATGTCTAAACGGATTTATGGGGACTAGGTCAAACTCAACATCGGTAATGCCTAATTCTCTTATAACCATCGAAATGTTTAAAATTGTACAGACCTATATATCGACGTTATTAAACGACTGATCTTCTCTTGCTCGGTTTCTCCTAAAATTTCAGGCTGACAAATATGAATTGTACCACTCATAATTGTCCGTGATACCTTGGTCAAGCGAAAGAGTCGCCATATGCTTCATCTTTCTTCATCCACAAACAACTTTAGATTTGATTCGTCATCGAAAATCCACGCCACCAATTATCTACATTGTTTCAGGTTCATAATCATAGGTCTATGATTCGTCACCTGCAACAATTTCCTAAGCGACCTTTGAAGCACCGAGATAGTATTTTAACAAAATATTCTTTGTTTCTATTGCTTTTTATTTGAAAAAGTCTGGTTGCCAGAGTGTGTTTGGATTTTTTTATATCCATCCATGGGGTCTAAAAATGTTCTTCACTTCCAACTATTTAAATTACCCTATGAGAAAACTATAAATTAGTCTTACGGACATACCCGCTAATGTTGTGTAAAACGATGTAACATAGATACTTATAATTAAATTTTTAAATAAAAAAGAATCAATTTGAAAAAGTGGAAGAAATTAAATATGCCATCCCGGTTTTGAGAATGAGGAAGAAAAACGAAAATATTCATCTTTTAGAGAATTGAATACCTCCTTCAAATGACACGCCATCAGTAATTTAAAATGAACTAAAGTCAACACCTTCGTAACAAAAGCGTCAACGCTTATGTATGTATCTGTGTGTGTGTGGGTTGGTGTATCTATGTGTGATGGATGGATGGCTAAAGGTTTGGGAGGTTTAAGTTCATTTCGTATTCAATAAAATATTCACATAATTATGTTTTAACAACGTAACGTAGTTGTTCTTACATGATGAATATTGTATGACAACGTAACAGGCAAATATTTAAATTAACTTATCCGAAACGTGTGATGAATTACAAAAAATCTGAAACTTTTAAATGGTTGGGGTTATTTGAATTCAATAATTATCGTAAATAATTATTGTGCCCTACACCAATAAGGAAATCGAATATTGGATACGAACTACGTAACAAAATTTGTTCATTACAACCTACATACTACAAAACATTTAGATTCCGCAACCCTCCACACAACCACAGAAGAGATCCGATGGGATTACAAAAAATCGATGGTCTTAAGGCGATTTTGAAATGAATTTTGAAAAAATTTTCGAAGGCCATAAGGCGTGGATTTTATAACGATTCATTAAATAATATTCAAAGACTATAAGGTGTGGATTTTTAAATGAATTTTTAAAGAATATTCGAAGGCCATAAGCCGTGGATTTTTTAATGAATTTTTAAACAACATTCAATGGCCATAAGGCGTGGATTTTTTAATGAATTTTTAAAGAATATTCAAAGGCCATAAGGCGCGGATTTTTTAAAGAATATTCAAAAGCCAAAAGGAGTGGATTTTTAATGAATTTTTAAACAACATTCAAAGGCCATAAGGCGTGGATTTTTAATGAATTTTTAAAGAATATTCAAAGGCCATAAGGCGTGGATTTTTTAATGAATTTTTAAAGAATATTCAGAGGCTATAAGGCGTGGATTTTTTAATGAATTTTTAAAGAATATTCAGAGGCTATAAGGCGTGGATTTTTTAATGAATTTTTAAAGAATATTCAGAGGCTATAAGGCGTGGATTTTTTAATGAATTTTTAAAGAATATTCAGAGGCTATAAGGCGTGGATTTTTTAATGAATTTTTAAAGAATATTCAGAGGCTATAAGGCGTGGATTTTTTAATGAATTTTTAAAGAATATTCAGAGGCTATAAGGCGTGGATTTTTTAATGAATTTTTAAAGAACATTTAAAGGTCATAAGGCGTGGATTTTTTAATGAATTTTTAAAGAACATTTAAAGGCCATAAGGCGTGGATTTTTTAATGAATTTTTAAAGAACATTTAAAGGCCATAAGGCGTGGATTTTTTAATGAATTTTTAAACAACATTTAAAGGCCATAAGGCGTGGATTTTTTAATGAATTTTTAAAGAATATTCAGAGGCTATAAGGCGTGGATTTTTTAATGAATTTTTAAAGAATATTCAAAGGCCATAAGGCGTGGATTTTTTAATGAATTTTTAAAGAATATTCAAAGGCCATAAGGCGTGGATTTTTTAATGAATTTTTAAAGAATATTCAAAGGCCATAAGGCGTGGATTTTTTAATGAATTTTTAAAGAATATTCAAAGGCCATAAGGCGTGGATTTTTTAATGAATTTTTAAAGAATATTCAAAGGCCATAAGGCGTGGATTTTTTAATGAATTTTTAAAGAATATTCAAAGGCCATAAGGCGTGGATTTTTTAATGAATTTTTAAAGAATATTCAAAGGCCATAAGGCGTGGATTTTTTAATGAATTTTTAAAGAATATTCAAAGGCCATAAGGCGTGGATTTTTTAATGAATTTTTAAAGAATATTCAAAGGCCATAAGGCGTGGATTTTTTAATGAATTTTTAAAGAATATTCAAAGGCCATAAGGCGTGGATTTTTTAATGAATTTTTAAACAACATTCAAAGGCCATAAGGCGTGGATTTTTTAATGCATTTTTAAACAACATTCAAAGGCCATAAGGCGTGGATTTTTTAAGGAATTTTTAAAGAACATTCAAAGGCCATAAGGCGTGGATTTTTTAATGAATTTTTAAAGAATATTCAAAGGCCATAAGGCGTGGATTTTTTAATGAATTTTTAAAGAATATTCAAAGGCCATAAGGCG